TATCTGGGTCTGAGGTCAAGTTGGCAATGAGTTCTGCTGAATACTTGTCTAATTTCTGTGCCTCAATTATGTCAGGCTTGCAGGCCATGATCTTCATGTACATCAGTTGGATGCCTAGGCTGGCAGGGTCAAGGAGTATGTGGGTGTTGTGGTCCTTGGTCTCAGCTGTGGTGGGAATCATATCTGCTCTTCTGCTTAGTGTGTTGGGTACTATGTTGACTTTTCCAGGTTTGTAGTCAATTGTCAGGGTGTAGTTGGCCAGTTCTAGAGCCCATCTGGCCTGTCTCTGGTTTAACTGTCTGGGTTTAAAGAAGTAAACCAAGTTCTTGTGGTCAGTTAGGACTTTTACTGGGAATTCAGTGCCACATAGGTACCAGCGCCAATGTTTCAAGGTCTTCATTATTGCAAGCATCTCCTTATTGTAGATTGGGTAGTTTCCTTTGGCAGGCAGCATCTTCTTGGAGTAATATGCTACAGGATGTAGCATACTATCCCCTCCTTCCTGAAGAAGGACCCCACCCACTGCAAAGTTGGATGCATTGGTTTCCAGTACAAATGGCTTGGATGGGTCAGGCATTGCCAGGATGGGTGCAGAGGTGAACGCAAGTTTTAGGGCCTCAAATGCTGATGTGCACTTGTCAGTCCAAGCAAAGGTGACCTTGTCAGAGCAAAGGTGGGTCAGGGGCAGAGTAATGTGAGAAAAATTTTGGATAAAATCCCTGCAATAATTTGCCAGGCCCAAAAAACTTCTCACATCCTTTCTGCATTTGGGTACCAGCCAAGCTGTTATTGCTTCTACTTTGTCCTGTGCCATAGCAAAACTGCCAGTCTTCACCACATATCCCAGGAATTTGACCTCAGTCTGAAAGAATTCACATTTCTTAAGTTTGGCGTGTAGGTTGGCTTGGGAGAGTTTTTTCAGTATCAGGTCCAGGTGTTGGAGGTGCTCTTTGTGTGACTTGCTGTAGATGAGGATGTTGTCCAAGTATGCGACACAAAATTGGTCAAGGTATTCCCCTAGGACAGTATTGATCATCCTTTGGAAAGTGCTGGGGGTGTTGCACAGGCCAAATGGCATTACTAGGTACTTGTACAACCCATATTGGGTTTTGAAGGCTGTTTTGTATTTGTCTCTGGCCTTGATTTGGATTTGATTGAACACATCTCTAAGGTCAATTTTTGAGTACACCTGGGCTCCAGTCAGTACATCACAGAGGTTGTCAGCATTGGGGATGGGATAGTGGTTCTTCACTGTAATGTCATTCAGCTTCTGGTAGTTTACGCATGGACACATCCCACCATCTTTTTCCCTACAAACAGCATGGGTGACAAGCAGGGGGCTTTTGACACTTGGATGAAACCCTTTTTTGTCATATCCTCCAGGTATGCTTTCAAGGCTACTTGTTTGCGGTGGTTGCAGCTGTAGATGGGGCTGTGGTGTGGTTGGGTTCCTGGTATCAGGTCTATGGCGTGATTGTAGATTGAATGGCTGGGTAGTTTTGTGGCTTCTTCTTCACTAAACACATGGTCCCATTTCTGTAGGGGAGTAGGTAGTATCCCGACGCTAGGTTCTATCTTTATGGTTAAGAGTTTGTTGGTAGGGGCTTAGCCATGGCTCATGCAAAAGGGGACGGTGTCACAAGATTCAGGTTGGCCCAACATGGCAGTTTGTTTGTGATAGTTCAGGATCAGGCCATGTCTGTTGGACCAGGAGTTGCCCAGTATAAGGGGGTGGGGTAGTCCTGGCAAGAGGATCAGGGACAACAGGTACACATTATGTCCAATTGTCAACAGGAGTTCTTGTTCACACTCATAGCCAGTGTCCAGAGAGCTGTTTCCCATGACTACTTGTAGGCTACGCTCTGAAGCTGTCAAGCCTAGTTTCTTTGCCAGGCCGGCGTCAATGAAGCTTTCATCAGCTCCTGTATCAATAAAAGCTTCAATCTGGCGCTTGTTTCCCAATAGTTCTATGGTCACTTGGATGAATTTTTAAGACTGGGAAGAAGTGTTTATTTGCGCCAGTGAGATTGGGGCAGTGTTCTTCTTAGGGCAGGCTCTGGTCAAGTGGCCCGCCTCATGGCAGTGGAAACAGAGTCCTTTGTGGTAGTGTTGTTGGAGCTCTTCAGGTGTCATTCCCGTTCTGTTGGGGGTTAGTGCTCAGTTTTGGTGGGTCTGGGAGGGGCCAGAATTCTCTTGGTTCATGCTAAGGCCCTTGCACAGGGGAACTAGATTGTCTAGGCTGAGGGTGGGCAGGGTGGTGCTTTAACAGGTCCTTCATTGCTAGGTTGACTCCCTTTTGGAAGATAATGGCTGCCAGTTTGTCTTCCAGTTGGGTGCAGGTCTTTAGTTTGAGGAATTTGTCAATGTACGCTTGGATGGAACGGGCGCCCTGCTGGATTTCTAACAAGGAGTTCAGGGCGTAGTATCTGGTGTTGCAGTCTTCCCTTGTGGCCATCAACTTGGCTTCAAACTTGGCATAATCTAGGCAGAATTCCACGTCTTTGGCGGTGGCTTTGCCAAACCAATCAAGGGTGTCTCCTGATAGCATGGCAGCTACTCCAAGCACCTTTTTGGTGTCACTGGAATAGGACAGGAGCATTGGCTTGAAAATGTAGTCAGAGCACTGGCATGGCGTGGCAGGCCTCTTTGAGAGTGAGTTTTCCCATCTGGGGCATCTCCACTTTGGTGAGTGATTGGTTGAGTATCACATTCTGAACCTGAGAGGAGGGTCCTTTGGCGGTTTTGGCGGTGGGGTCAGATTTCTTGGGGTTGTTTGGGTTCACGTTTGCATTCTTCCACATGGAAGAAATTAGGTTCTTGGTCATCATAAATGTGTAATAAGTGATTATCATTACAAAAAACATACAAGATGCCCTAAGAATAATCAACATCTTGGGGCTCAGGGTACCAGGTTTAAAATAGATTGTCATAATGTCAGGGAACCAACCTTGATTGGCTGGCTTGCTAGCATTTGGGAACTGGCAGGTTGCAGACTGGGTGGGCAGGGCCCACCAAAGGATTGGTGCTAACTTAATGAGGTAGGACATTGACTTGCCCACCCACAACCACAGACCAGCAGCGGGGACAATAGTATCTATTACTCCTGTGAGAGTAATATATACAATACTAAAAAAGCTTGTTGGTATGGTCCAGTGGGAGCTCAGTGGCAGAGGCAGGCATTGGTTTGGGGGTGACGGGTGGCTCCATGTCCATTTGGTAGGCAGGAAAGAAGTTGTATTTATCTCTGAACAGGCGGGGTTTGGTGACGTACCAAGAGCCTTCTTGGTTTTATCTGGTTAACTTTGTAGTTCTGGCCAAGAGATCCTGGGCTAGTATGTTGTCAGCGGTGTAGTCCTTGTACTCAGGCTTTAAGGGGTACTCTGTGAAATGAACAGGACCAAAGGGAGCACCTGGCAGGTGATATGTAGCTGGTGGGCTGGGAGGGGGGTCAGATGATCTTTGAGTTAACTGGCAGATGACAAGAATAAAATACAGCAATAATTGGGAAAACCAATATCTCATAACCTTTATTTAAAAATGATGATGAGGGTTGATCTCAGCCTGGCAGGTATTTATACCAGACTGCCAGGCTTCACTTCCTGGTCGGGTTTTCTGGGCTCAGGCAGATTGGCATTGGGGGTCTCAGATGGCAATGTGGCACTCAGCACTGGCAGTTTGCCACTGGCCGCTTTGGGATGAGAAGACTTCAAATTCTTCTGTTTGTTGATTTGGGTATTGGGTGCCTCTTTGGGTTCAGTGCCTCCCCTGTGACTTTGGGGGAGTTTGGAATAACTCTCATGGAGAAACTTGTGTATTTCACTGAGCAAACCGCCAGTGTCAGGCGTTGGCACCTCAGGGAAATTCTCAGCATCTTGCACTGGCTGTTTGCTTGCAGAATCCTGCGGGACGGCTAAGGGTTTGGGTCCTGGCGGGCTGGTAGTAACTTTATCAATCAGTAGTGGGTTATTGTGTTCTCAGCCCATGGGTCTGGAAGTCCGCAAAGGGTTTTGTCCAGGGTTTCACTCTGGTTCCGTATTTTGAGATTTAGGAGCATCCAAATTGAAATTCCTGACACAGGCACTGGTGGTTCACTTGCAAAGCTCTGTGGTGTAGGCAAGGATTCAGATCCTGGCATGTTAGCATCAACTTTATTAACAGGTATACTATTAATAGGCTGCAGGCGGCCAAACTCCTGGTCTTCTGAACTGGCTGGCCACAAAAAGTTAGGCTCAGGGTTTGAACCTGGTCCCATAGCTTGAGTTTTGGATAAGAGGGAATTGTCATTCCTGACAGTATGCCTAGTTGAGAAGAAAATATACTAAATGTGTATAATTCTGTATTGATGTATTAGCCCTCATAATAAGAACCATATCACCTTCTACAAAACTAGAAGAAATCCAAAACCCCCTTATTTTTTGATACATGTCATATCAGCTGCTTTTAAAACAACTGTGAACTATTGATGGCAGTTTTTTTTAAAAAAAAGGCTTTTACTTTTCATAGACTTTATTAGAATTTTAGTACTGAGTTTTAGTATTTACAATTGTTTTAATAAATATAATTTTAGTCATTTGGATATTTTGGAGAGCTAATAATATATTATTCAAGCCGTGTTTCTCTTCCCATACTGATTAATAGTAAATATGTTAAAATAAGCAATCAATTATTATATGTGAAATGGTTATTTTAGGAAGTAACAAGTGAATGACAGTATTTTATGTTAGATGTGTACATATTAACTTTAAATTAATATTTCTACCAAACAACTGAACTTGTTTATACAAATAACTCAAATTATACTCACCATAATTCAACTAAATTTTTTAATAATTTGATGCAAATGTGATGTAGTTTATTTAAAATCCATTTCAAAGAGCACCAACCAAGAGATCTGCCAAATTATTTCAAATGCACTTTTTTGGCTGAAAAGGGTAAAATCTACAATGTTCTATCTTAGAAATACAAATAGATATTGGAGTTACAAAAATTCTCAAAAAACGCTTCCCAACAGGGAGTCGAACCCTGGCCGCCACGACCAATTTAAGCGTGGAATCCTAGCCGTTGGACCATTGGGGAATTTAATTTAGATAAAATAAAGATGACTATAAAATATTAAATACTAGGTGGTTGTCCCGTCCAAGGATAGAATAAAAGGTGAATATTATAAATCAATTAAATATATTTTATTGTGTTTTTAGGTCTGGGGTACTTATCACATGTTAAATTAAAATTTAGCTAATTGCTTTATTAAAATGTAGATTTAATTATATTTATTTAAATTTTAAATTAAATTGTATATTCCAAGTATAAATAAAAACTAAACCTAAATAAGTATAGTATCACTTTTAAGTTTAGTAAAGATAAACTAATTATTTTAAAATTTAGTAATTGATTTTAATTGCAAAAAAATGTAGAGCTGATCTGCAGCTTTTAATAAAGTATTGGACATCAAAATCGGCTTAGTATTCACTGAGATACATTGATTTTAGTTTTTGTAGTGTGTATTAAAAGTAAATTTAGATAATATCAAATCGAGTCCGAGCCTTTGATTATGACGCGAACCCGATTGCAGTACTTAACTATATATCTCAGCATCTAGAGCAGCTAGAGCTATCATGCTTGGTACCATTTTGATCTACATCGTCTGAATTTCATGAAAATCATTATATTGAATCATAATTTTATCATAGTATTTTTACTCCACTGATGTTCTTTTGGGATGAAGCTGTGGCAAGCAAGGTTTACTCTGAAACAATATGGAGCTACTTGGATCAGCTGATGCATCCAAGTGGAATATTTTATCATTTCACTTTGAAATAGATAGATTAGAAATTTCCAAGCCAACTATCCTGTACTTAAACTAAAATGTATGTATCTTTTTCAATTATATCTTTAAAACTGACCAAGCTCTCTTTTCATCGGTTAATTCAATCATCAGCAGAGTTTAAACATCCAATCATATAAAAGGATATTAAACAATTTCTGCTTCCTTTCTAATTTTAATACACCCATTCTAGAGTCGGGTAATCTATACAGATAAGCCACTTTGATATGGTTGAATGGGGCCAGCCACTAATTTAAAATTCAAGTTATCAAATACAAATTTATTAAAGTTCGAGTGGCTTATATTTCAGTTCAACATGATTTAGACCACACTCCACTGGATTCAATCTGTGTACTCTCAAAGATGCATGTAAGGAATTGAATGTAAGGATGAGCTAAATTGAGCTTTTGGCTTAACAATCAACTTTTAAAATAATTTTAATTAAAAATCAATTCAGTAAAATCCCTTACAGCTTGAGCCCACTTGAGGTGACATTACAGACAGACAAACAGACAGATAGACAGACTCACTTTTATATACATTGATATTCTTTAAATCTATTAAGAATATGAGATATCTTTTAGATATAAATAATTGAACCCCTAAATTGAAGGATTTGAGGGTTTACTTAAGATAAAAATAGGTTAATTCATAAAATATATAGTCTTTTGATATACAAAATTTACACTGTAGCTAAATTAACATCTGTTTTAACAAACAGAAAAGGCAATATAATTACCAAGATGTTATTTATAATCCCAAGATATCAATCAACTTTTTAAGTACTGTAAATTAAGAACCTGAACGTAAAAATGCGGGATTGTCAAATCCTTGGTTCAAATTTTGAATCACTTTTGCGGGCAACTCAGCTGAGTGAAAAGTAAAATATTAAATAAAATTAACCATTTAATTTGACTTTTTTTGGTTTATTTAAATTGGCAAATTTTGAATCTCTTGAGCAGATAACTCAACTAACAAAAGACAAAACCCAACAAACAAATGCAGGATACATGAATCAGAAATGCGGGATTCTAATGTACAATTTAAGATTTCCTGTATGTCAAACAAATCATAGACATCATGTAAAACTTAACAAATCTGAAATTGTGGGATTGTCAAATCCAAGAACCAAGTTTCAAATCATAATTGCAAGGAATTTGAAATAAATATAATTTATGGGTGTCTCAAAAAGGATGTCAAAGGATCTAGAGCGGATTTGTGCTGATTCTTTTAGGAATCATAGACATTCTCAAAAATCACCCTATTCCAATTTAGGACGGCTAAAATTTAGATCTTACTATTCAGCAACTTACCATATTTAGCAATAAAATTGACTAAAATGTACACTCCTCTTTTTGAGTTTAAAATTTTTTAATAAAAATTTATTATGTCTTCTTTCAACAACAACCAAGTCAACATGCTGTTCCCTGGCCTTGACAGAATCATGCAGGGCTACACTGGGTCTCTTAACGGTGAAGTTTCTGTCTATGGCCACTCCCAACCCGCAGGCCCCTCCGCAAGCACTACCCAGGAGTCTGTTCTTTCTCCTGTGTCCTCAAGCATGGCCCTGTTTGCCCATCACACACAGGCAGCTGCTAACCCAAATCCCTTATCAGCAATGGCATCTGGAACCAGCCATTTTAGCCATGGGGTCACCCAGAGAGCCCAGGACCCCAAAACAGCCAATCAGATGGCATTGACCAGTTCACAAGATGGACATATCCCTCCCCTAGCCAATCAACCTGCAAGACAAAAAAGAAAACTAATCACTCCAGAGATTGTTCTCAACATGGTTGAAAAGCGAGGGAAGCTTATGTCCCTTGGGAAAATTGCAGCCACAATGGGGTTTGCAAAGTCTACTGTGGCTGCAACTCTGTGAGCCCACACCAACTGTGGCCCCTACCAAGAAGACCCCAACTGGTGCCCATATTTTGACCAAAAGTGACGCAGCCCATCCCCTTATGATGACCATTATGGAACTTGACCTGCAGATGCCCCTGGTCCAGGTACTCCCCAGTTGGGACTCCACAGCATTTTCACCAACAAAAGAACAGTGAATTTGTGGATGCACGCAGTTGTGGTTGCTGCTAGAATCTTGTCCAATCAATTTCTCAGTGGCCCCAGTTTGATGGACACTGATCCCTACAGTTCAACTATTATTAATTTTATCAAAGAAATGGCAATGAGGGCCTGTAATGACGTAATCTTCCTGTTGTATGCTAAAATATCTGCAAGTATCCAAGACTTTGGAGAGAAGCGTATCCAGTCTGATGTGTACAAGCACAGCCCAATCTTGTATTGTTTTGTTGGGGTTTTATTGGCAGTTTCCCCATTGGGTGTCAATTATTACTTGGCAATATCAAACACCGCAGATGGGTATGCCTACCAGACAGAGCTCAAGGCCATGCTGGAGGAGTGGGCCACACAATACGCTGTGCACACAGTTGTACTGAGTGCAGAGATGTAGCAGCGGGAATGGGCTACCCAAGAAATCAGGGCTGCAGGGAATACCTGCTGGTCCTACCCCATCAACTACGCTGACATGCATCTTGCAGATGTATGTCTCTACAATTTTGGTTCCGCCCTCAGGCGCTTAAAGCCTGCCACCTACAACAAACTATGCACCCAGATTGATAAGGAGTATGAGCTTTTCCTTTTTGCGTCCGTCCAGGACTTATTTGATCTCATCATCTTCTATGCAAGTGATAGTGATAAGTCCAGAAAGGACCCCTGTCTCCCCCCATGCCAGTTTATCCGTTTTATCAAGCCAGTATATGTGACAGAAGAAGAATTTGAGCAATTGAAGCAATCAGCTCTTGCTGCCCCTTCCCAGTCAACAAACCCTGCCTCTCCAACCCCCCATCAAGCAACCTGCCTTCCAACCCTGACTCCCAAACCACCACCCATTCCCTCCCTACTATCTCTGATGCTGCCCTTCTCACAGGCGCAGATGAAGGCAACGTTCATTCCACTCATTCCCTCCCCTTCCTGTCCTTTGATTAGTAAATAAATCTTTTCTTTGTGACAAATTATTAAAATTGATATCTCTCTTTCAATTCATAATTTATATTACTTTCTTTTTACATTATCAACATTTCTCATAATTAATACATTGTTGTACATTTTACAAATAGCTTAAAATTATGAGCATACATATTTTTCATCATCATTACTAAATTAAAGACAATAAACATAAATATTGGATTAAAATATTGCAATTAGACGTCATCTCTTGATATTTTGATATTATGTGCATAACTCAATGCATTTTGTTTATTAAATCCATTGTAAACTTGGCCTTTTCAATTATAATTTAATGAAATTGACTGTGTTTATATTAGGGCCATTAACGCTTAGTACAAATATTGATACATAGTGCATTTTACAGCCTGTATATTTACCTATTGGTAATAATTCTGTAAACTTTTCAGTCAGATTTTGCGAGGTAATAATAATGTAATGTGTTAATAAATTACAGTTTACTGTCATTAATTGGTTGATTTTCTTTGCTGTGGCAATTGTGCATTTTCTGATATCTATGCACTAGTATCTAATTGGTTGGCTTCACATCCAATCACACAGGTGATAGGAAAACAAGCCGCCACCCCAAGACTGGATGTGGTCAGGGTGCAGCTTGTTTTCCTATTGCCTGTTCAATTGGATGTGAAGCCAACCAATTGGATACTAGTGCATAAATATCAGAAAATGCACAATTGCCACAGCAAAGAAAATCAACCAATTATTGACAGTAAACTGTAATTTATTAACACATTACATTATTATTACCTTGCAAAATCTGACTGAAAAGTTTACAGAAGTATTACCAATAGGTAAATATACAGGCTGTAAAATGCACTATGTATCAATATTTGTACTAAGTGTTAATGACCCTAATATAAACACAGTCAATTTATTTTAAATTTTAATGAAAAAGACCTAGTTTACAATGAATTTTATTAAACAAGATGAATTGGTTATGCACATAATATCAAAATATCAAGAGTTGACGTCTAATTGCAATATTCTAATCCAATATTTACGTTTATTGTCTTTAATTTATTAATGATGATGAAAAATATGTATGTGTTGAAGATAGTACTATTAAAACCAGTTTTTTGATGGAATTCAAACAATATGTCAACAATCTATAACTTGATCAACAAATTAGAAGCAACCCTGCAAAAGGTTGTTGAGATAGAAAGAAATATCAGGAAAATAGTGACAGGAAAGCTGGGTAACAAGGGCCAGCCAC